GAGAGAGAGAGAGAGAGAGAGAGAGAGAGAGAGAGAGAGAGAGAGAGAGAGAGAGAGAGAGAGAGAGAGAGAGAGAGCATTGGGCAGTTGCCTACACAATGAATGCAACATCCATCATATCTGTTTTTGCGAGCGAAGCCGCAACAGGTCATCTAGTGATTTTATAAATTTTATTGCTGTTGGCATTGCTTATTTCCTTGCACTCTCTCTCTCTTTTCTGTTTCCCGTTTCTCCTAGAGTTTACATCTTTCCTGATGATGGGTGCAGATTGAAGAACCAATGTCAAAATCAGAGTGGGTCTCACAGCATTGTTCAACACTTTTCCTGCTGAATTTTGTTTTAACTCTCTCCTTCTCTCTGTCCCCCTGTCTCCTCTTTTGCTTTCATTTGCCATTCCTTGTAGAGTTGACAGCTCATGTGACAAACAATGTGTGCAGATTGAAGGGCCAACGCCAAAATCAGAGTGGAACACACCAGAAATGCTGGGACACTTCAGTGCGGTGAGGAAGCTTGATGGGATGACATTTCCTCCAGGTTTCTCCTCAGAGATTGCACGCATCAATTCAGAGCGCAGTGCCTCAGTGCTCACTCAATGTGTGAGGTAACTTTCATTTTCGCCGTTTACTCCCTGTGTCATGCTCCTGGTCATTGGTGGTGTTTCGTCTGTGCTAACGAACATGTTGAGAAGTGGCTGCTTCATATTCGTCAAGTTTTACCATTGGGAAACCTGTACACTGGATCTGACTTGACCAGGTGCGAACCTAGGTCTGGAGATGGACCAGATGTCCAAGATATGCTCGGACTAAGGGGATTATATAACTTCATGGGTGTTTACACACACATCAATTCCAGATTCACTTGGCGCAAATACACTTTCAGAATATTCCAAACTCAAACTTATGTCCACATCTTGATGAAGCATTGGGACTATGGCCGCCCGCCATTGAGAGCAACAAGCAGGTATATGTCCTCCCTCTCCCTCTCTCAAGGCCTTTCTTTCCCTCTGAATGTGTTCAGGCTTCTTCCAAGCATCTACGGCCCCGGGCGTATCTACTACTACTACATCTGTTACATGCTGCGCCTGCAACAGGCTGCACGGGCCATTTCCAGGCCCGTGTTGTTTTCAGCCTGAAAGCCTGAAAACAAGGGCCTACAGGCCCCGTGTTGTTTTCAACCTGTTTTCAGCCTGAAAGCCTGAAAACAAGGGCCTATAGGCCCCGTGTTGTTTTCAGCGTCAAAGCCTGAAAACAAGGGCCTACAGGCCCTGAGTCTTTTCAGCCTGAAACGGAGGGCCATTTTCAGGCCCTCATCAGATCGACCTGCCCTGAAACTCAGGTTCCAGACCAGGGTTTTAGCACAGGCCATTTTGGGCCTGTTTTCAAGACAATCCTTGGTTGAGCTTCAACGCCAGGGTCTGGGACGTTTTGGCATTGGCAAGAGCAGCCTCCTGGACGGGCCAGCACTATATAGGACTGGCCCGCCCTGCGGGCTGCAGGTAGTTCCTAGGTACTTCCCAGGCACTTCACGGGCAGTTCAGGAGGCAGGAGGTAGTCTTCAGGATTCGGCAGCAGCAGTCTGGAGGAGCGCTGCAGGAGCAGTAGTAGCGCTAGCAGTAGTCTTCAGCGCTGGGCGCTAGTAGCGTTAGCAGTAGTCTTCAGCGCTGGGCGCTAGTAGGAGCTAGGAGAGAGAGAGATTGGGCGGAGGCCAGGGAGACTTACCTCCGGCACCATAGCTCCAGCTTCGTCTTCGAGGTACCTGCAGCACAGCGCCATCTTCACAGGTTAGTACCTGGCACATGAGAGAGAGAGAGTTCTTCTTCTTCCTCTTCTCAGTCCACCATCTCCCGCTCACCGTCTCGCTACCTGACTTCACTGCATCAGCAGACTATGAGAGAGCGGGCTTGGTGACATTTGGATTCAGACTCGACATTGGGCTTTAGACATTTGACGAGGGATTATCTGGGACTTGTAACGAAGACTTGGTGTTGATGACATTCCCACCTTCCCCCTTCGTCTTCGCCTGCTCCCCTCCTCTTCATCTGTGTATGGAGTGCACCTGGCGCATTCTTCCTGTGTGTAGCGCCAGGCCGCTTCACACCTTGTGATGAGGATGATGTATGGTTGGTCTGTACTGCGACATTGGTTGAGCTAGTCATTTGTATTCTAGCATTCTGCTGCGCTGTCTTGCACTACGTGAGAGAGGTCAGTCCCTGTCAGGTCAGGACTTGTATCTTAGTCTTCCACTGCACTATAAAGCACCATTTTGTATGTATTAGGATGCACATTGCTTGTTGAGATTCTACTAGCACTTCATTGTCCATTCAGTCCTTTTTATTACATTGCGGATCCTTGGTTATATATGTGCATCGCCCAACTGGGCATGTAACAGTTGGTATCGGAGCACCGCACGTGAATCAGGACAACCTGATCTGAAACGTGTCCGGGGACTAAGTAGCTGAATAGTGCGGATTGATTGATTAGAGCACACTAGTTAGCCCCCAAAATAACGATTTTGACCTCACTGCCGAAAATCGATTTTTTTTTTTTCTTTTCTTGGATTTTGTTTTCCCGCTATTTCTGTTGTGGAAAAGCGCAATAGCGCAACACCTGAAATTTCCGTTTTCGTTTTTCTTCTGAAAATTCGAAATTTCGTTGTCAGAAATCCGGAATATCTTTTTTTCGAAAATTTCGATTTCCTTTTGCAATTTCCCGTTATTTTGAATTTCCGAAATTCGTTTTAAAAAAAAACACGGTACGGGAAATCCCTCTGTCGTGATGATTATGATGGTACAGTCCATGCAAGTCTTTTTTTTTTCATACGTATGAGCATTTTACGCATGTATGACACCCTATTTGTGGACGGGCCACAAAGGCAATGCCTATACAATTGAAAGACAATTGGGGTCGGCCTTCCTCTGTTTTCCTAGCATGTGGCAGCCATGTTGCCTACGCCGGCATTCGACACAGCAACTGCACCTGCGAGAACTGGATGCGGTGTTTCCACAGTTTACACCTGAACTGGTCCTGTCCGGTCTGCCGGGGTGGCCATTTACTATAGGCAACACCTGCACCTCAACCTTTTTTTTTTGTTTTTTTTTTGTTTTTAACAGAAACTTGCAATTCTGGCTCCATTCCATTCTGGGGAACATCAGTCCAGTTCCTATTCCACCGGCAAGTCAGAAGAGATTACAATGGATACTCGTGCACGCTCCTCCCCATTACCGTTGAGAGGCCCAAGTGGTCGGCAGTGATTACTTCCCGAGGGAAGGATGTACCACCCCACACCCCTGCCTAAGTTAGCCAATTGACTTATTTTAAAAAATGGACGCTAGTCTGAATTCCACTGCCCCTGTTTTACTTCGAAAAATGGACGCTGGTCTGAATTCCACTACCCCTGTTTGCTATTGGTAACTTGGCTTTGAGAGCCATGTCTAGCTTGTTCCTCTCAGCTGAATGGCTATTGGATTTGTAGCAGGTGCTGGAGCTGCTAGTTTGTCTTCTTACTGGACTTCATAGTAAAACCCTAAACCCCAGTGCCCCTATTTTACCAAGTGGCCGAAAGGAAGTGGGGTTTTGGAAGCAAGTAGTGATACTTGCGTCTGACTGAGAACACGAAGGAGTATGGCTTTTAAAGGAGGCTGTGAGACCCTTCTTGTGAGTTCTGACTACTTGAGAACCCTAGACCCTAGATTATTCTAAGGTTGTTTTCTGTGGCCTGATGATGCGATGATGCGGCATGGGGTTTCGGTTGGCGGGGCCTGGAGGCTGTGGGTATGGGGATTGTGAACCGGGTGATGATTACGAGATGGTCGGGGATGAGGGAGGTTGTGAGATGGAGGGATTGGTCAGGTGCATGTCTGGGGTGGGGGATTTTTTGGGGGTTTGGAGGGTGGTGGGGTGGGAGGTGGGAGGGTGCATGTGGTTAGAGTTTTACTGATTAGAGAATTGGTGCTAGCTGGGAGTTGGGTGCTTGGCTTGGGTGTGCTTGCGCTGGGGGTCTGTGGTGTTAGTGGATGGTTAGTTGAGCTACTGTTATGTGAGGGTGGTAGAATAAGCCAATTTTTAAGAACTAGTCTGTCGTTCTTTATTGTACCTAGGTGTCCTGACCCTAACTTTAGGCTTGTGAAATTTTTATTATTTCAGGCTTTTCAGTCTTTTTGTCGGGAGAGCTGTGTATTTGTTTTTGTGCTTTTTCCAGTGAACACCCGCACATCAACTTTGTTTCCTCAACAACCCAAGTACTGGCTTACTTCTTGTGCCATTCTATACTGGTCTGCTCTGCTGGTGAATGTTGAGAGCACTGTGAAGTTCAATTTCTCCCCCGTGTCCTGTCTCTTCTTCACCCTATCTTCCTGTCCGTCCGTTTCTCCCTCCTCCCAACCCCCGAACAGAACTAGTAAAGGCATCGGAATGAGCATCATAAAGGGACAGACTATCATAAAGAGAAGAGGCCAAATATACCCCTTCCCCTTTACTCTGCGTCCTTTTCATGTCGTGCAAGTGGCTTCATGGCACATGGGAATGTGGACAGCTCGCACTCAACCATTATGAACGAGGCAAGTCTTGTAAGTGAGAGGTGCAGTAAAAGGGGACATGCAAGAAGAAACAAAAAAGAAAAACCAAAAAAAAGCCAAAGATAGGAAAGCGAAGGAGGAAACATCTGTGGTGCCTGTGACGAGCACTGGGTTCGAGCAGGAGGAGGAAGGGTGAGGAAGTGAACTCGCACACACGACCAGACTCCAACGCAGAACTGGACTGGTACAACAAGGACGCTCAGAGCAAGTCAATGTGGAACTCACACTCTGAAAACTGAGTACAGCACAAGATATCTTGAAAGTGTGTGAGACCGGTACATATACCTGGGAACAGCCTAACGGCTAGGCTGGGCTCAGGGGTATAAAATCAGCTGGTACCAGAAGGGTACTGGAAAAATGTCTGAGGGAAAGAAATGCAAAATGTATCAGTAGACTCGGTACCGAGGACAGCAGAAAAAACAAATGTGCGATACCACGCATGAGGTCCAGGTATTGAGCCCTGGCAGATCCGTAACAGTGCCTCGGCCCGTTGAAATTCTACTGCAAGATAGTAAGGTCAAGGGTAGCAAAGTGGAACAGAAGGGACAAAGAAGGTAGAGAGCACAGGGGTCAGGGGTGGTATATTCTTCTGGGAAACAGGAAGCAATCAATACCGCCCCCTTGGTCCTTGGCCATAACGAAAGGAAGCGTGGAGTGGGTACATAGTGTAAAGGGCACTGGGTCTATTTTCCAGCGTGTGTAATGAAAAATTTTATATTTATTTTTATTTTTAATGGAAAGCAGGGTTGCATCCCCGCCGACCGGTCGGGCCGACCGCCGACCGTATTGTACCGACCGATCAGGGCCGACCGGTCGGTGGTAGCCGACGGCTCAGAAAACATTCTCCCTCTGATTTTTTTTTTGTTCCGACTTCGGGTCTGTACTGCGCTTGCTGAGTACAGCCC